CAACACATCCATACAACACGGTCCAAGACCAGAAAGCCATTAGCATAAGCTATAACAATCACAGAATGAACGTGATGGTTACTAAATAATATCTTCAAAAAAAATGAAAGTGGAATTTAAATATGCAGGTAACATACTTCCAACCTCCTCCCCCTCCCAGAAAATAAAAATTAAAAATTGCAACAAATAGAACGATAAAACATTTTAAAATCAAGATGCTACTAGTTTCAACTTTCATCAGCTGAAACCCAAGAAAAACTGAGGGAAAGCTAGAATAGAAGTAGAAAGCAAAAAAAAAAAAAGTAGCAAGGAAGAATCTGAAACAGGCGCAGTATAGAGTGCCACAGCAAAACAGCCAGGTAATTCTTTTTTTTTTTTGGGGGGGGGGGGTGATGACTTACGGTTATGGAGATCGGAGGCGACGATCTTCCAGCACGGCAAGGCGCCGATGAAGATAGGCCACATGATCCAGGTGTGCATTTTCCAGCTAGGGTTGCCCTGTGCCCCTGTCCGTGGGTTATCCAGGCTGACCCCTTGATTTTGCCCTTTTATCAGACTGCATCATTTTGTAATTTTCATTACGCCAGCAAAAAAAACTATAAAAAAAGGAAAAAATCTCAAAAGAGCGGAAGGCCCCACTCGCTTTCCGGTCAAGTCCGTCCGGGACAGTGCATTCTTTGCTGTCTTATACTTCTGTAATAAAATACTACCTTTTTAGGCATAATTGTGTATCTTTTTTTGACCAGCGGCATAATTGTGTATCAAGAGCTTAATTTTTTCCAAATAAAAATACTAAAAAATTTAGTTATAAACATTAATACAACCTCTAGCACTTAATGATAGCCTGTAAGCATTAAATATTTTATTTGCATATACTATTCTCATATTTACAGTTATTTGAATTAATGTCTTTAACTCATCCTTTAATAAAATATTCTTCAGTGCTAGTTATTATTAAATTAATTTTTTAAAGGCTAGATGTCATTTTCTTGATTTTATTAAAAAAAGTGGATAACGTGTATTTTTTTAAAATTGAATTATATGCTATTTCGTGGACGAAGACGAATCTTAGATAGACTGTATTGGCTGATTGCTGAAACTCCACTATGCATAACCAGATAGCATTTGTATATTTTGATGCAAAGGCTCATGGATTCAGGGTTCGAGATCTTTAAATATATAAATATGCAAAAAAAAGAAGGAAAAATAGCAAATAAAACCCCCTAATATATGAAAATCACGATTTAGGATCCTCAATTTGAAAAATAGCAAATAAAGACCTGATCCCATATTGCAAATATGAAATTTGAGTGAAATGTCTGTAATGCCCCTTAGTTAAGTTGTGATTTGATCTACTAAAATTGTCATTCGTTAAAGTGAACTTATCATTTCCCATGGTCAACTTGTTATCTGGCATACTCTCAGCCAAGTTGTAATTTAGTCTACTAAAGTTGTCGTTCGTTAAAGTGAACTTGTCATTTTTTATAGTCAACTTATCACTTAGCTGAGGTGTATTTTAGACATTCCACCAATATTTTATATTTGTAATATGGGACCAAATCCTTATTTGTCATTTTTCAAATTGAGGGTCTCAAATCGTAATTTATGAGAGTCTTTATTTACCATTTTCCCAAAAAATTATCAGCTTGGATGACACTGCTTTTTGCTTTTTGTTACTCCTTCGGTAATTAATATAAAACCTGCTTATTGAGTTAGTTTTGGTCCTAAATATAATACTTATTTCTCATATTTATCAGTTTTTTACTAAATTACCTTTCTAGATACTCTCTTAACCATAATCAAGTAAAAGAAGGAAATGAGATATTAAGAAAGATAATTGCGGTGTTTTAGAAAAAATATGTTATATTTATTATAATTAACCAACTTACCTAACTTCCCTAATCTAATCAAATTAATTAAATAGGTATTATATTAAGAATCGGATGAATATCATGACAGCCCCCTTCTATCGCTAAATATGTTCTCTTCTTATATCATGACATCATCAATCGTCAACTATCAACTACTACCTCCGGTTCTTAATATAATACCCTGTTTGACTTTTATTTTGGTCCTAAATATAAGACCCCAATCCACTTTGTCTCTCATATTTATACTTTTTTTTTTTAAAGTAACCATTCTAATAATAAGAGTTCTATTCAATACACTTGATTAGTAAGGATATTTTAGGAAAGATAACACCTATTTAGGACAAATAATTAACTCAACTTACTTTCTTAATCTTTTCAAATTAGTCAACTGGCTCTTATAATTAGGACTAGAGGTAATATATTCTTAAAAACTTGTGATGCTTGATTCTTTTAAAAATAAATCGTATATGATATTATGATTTCTGAATATATTTAATTAATGATATTTAAACAATACTTTGATTAAAATTTGGGTATATTAAATTAAATGAGGAACATCATTATTAAATATAATTTAAATTGGAGACTCAAATGAAAAAACTAATAATTAATTGTGAATTTGAATAATATCTTAATTAAAATTTAAATATATTAAATTAAATAAAATATATCATAATTAAATAGTATGTCAATTGGAGGCCTAAATGGATAAATAATTAATTAATCTTAAATTTTCATATGTTTCTCCTAAACTTCGTATATCTAATTTAAATCTCATTTGAATGAACATAAAAATCATACTCCCGTAAAAAGTAAATATTAATTAGAATTTTAAAATCTAATCAAATATTCTATTATGACTGTTCGCTTCTATCTGGGCTTTATGGATACGTTTTTACGTTGAAAGTAGTCCTCAGGTGTTAAATTTTCACAAGGCCCACCCCATGGAAAAGGTGGGTCGGTCCATTTGACGCCCCAGTTAATTGAGGCCCTCCAGGCATCCACACTCAATTCCAGGCCGACGATAGCAGCCACAGTAGCCGGTTGTCGGGGTCAGGTGACCCAGTTCAACATCAATTATCCAAACTAAACACGTTTCAAGTGCACATGCATGCTTCAATAGATTGTCCCTATTTTTCACCTTAAATGCCTGTCGGAAGAAAAATAAAAAAGGCTCGTATAAAAAAAAAAAAGTTCGGTCCCCAAAACAATTGAAAAGGATGAATACCACCACAAATTAAAACTAAAAATGAATCCAGAAAAGAAAATGTATGTGTAAAAAAGTGATCGAGACTGGTGAGCAAGACCCCACGAACAGGACACATGTTACTCTCCCTTTTGGAACTGCTATCTCATTTTAGCTTATACAAACACGCAAATGACGCATTCAACATGAATGAAAGCGCGTGATAAAGAAGGCGAGCCCACAAAAGGACGAGCAATATGTGAACTACGATTTCAGGGTACTGCCGAGCAGATTTATGTTTTCTCCCCTACCTTTCCTACCTTTTTCCCCCTCCACTACTTTTTTTTTCTCGTCATAACCATTGAACTAAAATTTTTATAGTTCAGGTAACATTTTATAAAAATAATGTTATTAAAAAAATAAATAAATAAATTTAAACAGTTAAAATCTGGTTTGAACAGTTTACAGCTGTAATAAAAAAAATTTTAAAAAATTTGCTCTTTAATAATAGTCTGTAGCTGTAAACTGTTCAGATTATATTTTAACAGTTTAAATTTATTTATCTATTTTTTATAATAATATTATTTTTATAAGACGTTATAAAATATTAAATCCGGACTATTGGAGTTTTGATCTAATCGTAATAGCTGTGAAGGGGAAAAAAAACATACAAGAAAAGAGGATGGTAACGCCAGTGAAGAGAATCCAAGTCGCTGTCGGGCTCTAGTGGAGTATGCGGGGAAGCTAGAATCTTGAGAGCGCATATGGTGCGCGGCTTTGTTGATGGAGCGAGTAGGATTGCTATCGTAGAGGCTGAGAGAACGAAAGGTTACTGATCAGTTCAAGTGGAAGATACTATTCCTTGTTTTATGCCCCACAGTTTTAGCTGAGTGCAATGGATTGCTGCACAATCAAAGGCGTTTATGACGGCTAGCGTAACGTCTTTAAAACTTTTAGAGCTGTGGTGGTCTACGACTTCTGATATTTTTAATATAAAAACTAGTTTGACTTTTAATTTAGTTTTATATATAAGAATTCAATCCATCCTGTTTTTTATATTTATTTTTTTTCTTTTTAAAATAGTTATTATAATAGTTATATATGTTAAATGTTCAATCAAATAATAGTTTTAACTGATACATAATTAGTACGGATATTAAAAAAAACAACACATAATTATTAGAAATAATTATTTCAATAAACTTTTTTAATTTATTTTAATTAGTTAACTAGTTCTTATATTAAGTATCAAATATAATATCAAACAAGCCTATATTCTCTTAACGACCACCCTTTTCTCTTAACGACCACCATTCTGTGTTCTCAGCCATCCATCGTCTTATCTTTTTCTTTCATACCCCATAACCGTAACTCAAGAGAAAATGAGATTTCGAGCTTTTAATACGTCTTCAACAAAATAGGCGAAAAAGGGTCGACATCAAGATTTTATCCCGCCATACACTTATTGAAAGCTAACCCGTGGGTATCCTTTCTGTTTTTTCCCCCCCTGTTCTTTCTCTTTCTCTCACTACATCTCACATATAATTTGCCTCCTACTTGCCAGTCTCAGCTCAATTCAAATCCGTATCTGTATCACGCAGGCTGAAATATAAGAAGGCATTAAATCAAGAAACTTAAAGCGGACTGGAAGTGGTTGAACTGCTCTTCCTCTCCTCATATGTAGCCCCGTGCGGCGGTGCCCTTGCTCTCGGGGATTCAGTTTTCACTGCAAGATCCTTTGAGTTTCAGTTTCAGTTCTCCGAGAATTCAGAAAAGGTAAAACCAGAAAGCTTCCAATACCAAATGCCAATTGTCCTGCTGTGCCTATGTGAAATGAAAGCTTTTTCCAAACAAAAAAGGATCATATATAGAATAATACGGGACATATATGCTCAAATGATCGGAGGAGGAGAGCGGGTCACAGCATAACACGCCAAGGAAAGTGGTGTTCAAAGTAGAAGTAATGGAAGATATATAACGAAGCAGACCCAGAAGGGCTGACTCCATTGAAGCTAGGCAGTCCCCTCGTTGGGCTATAATATGTGCAAAAAGCAATTAAAGGGTATTTTACAAAGTATATGATGGATCACTAGCGATGGAATTCTCATCTACAAGTCTCCTGCCTACCAGAGTCAGCAAAAAGAAATTACATATATAAGCAGTACAATCTTCTATTCTTCTTTCAACATGTGTGAAGGAACAATATCTTGAAGAAGCCCGTGGTCTCTTAGAAAAGCTGCAGTGGCTCCAGAATTACAAAATCTTATGTCTTGAGCAAAAGCAAATGCAGCTTTCTTTGAAGTTGAATCAGTATTGCTATTGTTAGGAAAGCCCGTGGATGATATTGTATTATTATTGTGAAGAACTTGTCGTTGCTGAGGATGATGATACTGGGATAACAGGTTTCCTTGCATCGGGAAACCGAAGGAGGCGGCACAACCAGCGGAGACACCCGCCGGTAGTGAAGCATCCATTCCGGCGAGGTTTGAGCGAGGCATAACTGGGCTTGGATGGGTGTGCTGACCTTCATAAGTTGTTACTACAATGCTTGGATCGCTGAAAGATCGCTCCACTCGTTTCTTCACATTACATGAAGCGCTGGTGCAACGATAATAGCTCCTGCCATATTATATTAGCAAAGATCAAATTTAGTATTCTTTTTGGGTAAAACAAATCTTATATACTCCTATAGTCCAACCAGGAAGGAAGCATGGCTACAGAGAAGGAAGATTAAGAGTAGGATAAGAGTTACCTTGGAAAGGGGCTGTTTTTCACAGCTTTTTGACCGTACTTTCTCCATCTGTACCCATCTTCCAAATGATCCACCTCGCTTTTCGTCATGAACGCGAATCTCGGCTCTCTCTGTCTCTTCTGATTTGTCTTCTTGGCTTTCAATCTGACCCAATCAAAAACCACATCCCACAAAAACCTTTGATATTAAGAACTAGAATGGTCGTTCACAGAAATCGTACGCTATCAGCAAAAGCATCCATCTCATTCCTAATCAGATTGAGAAAAAAGCTCTCTCCACGACCATCAATGGGAGACAAGAAACCGATACAAGTACTTCAACTAAAAGAACCAAAATTATATTCTTCCAATGAACCATTTCCCCCTAATGTCTAATGAGATTAACGTTAAAGCAAATTATCTGAACGGGACCTCAAATTAAAAAAGAAGAAAGCAATCAGGAGCAAATGACAATAATTGCATAAAAACACAAACAACCCGCATGTTGTTCGTATAGTAAAATGGGTGCCGACACTAAAACAAAAAGAGCAAGGGAAAGAGTGAGATGGTAGAGAACCCACAGTTTCTTGGTCTTGGAGCGTTCTTCGGCTTGGTCTGAAGTTCTATTGTGTTCGTCATTGACAGTCATGGCGCCACTGGACGCCGACGAGATCGATGAAGAGTTGGGGGTCGCAGGTTGTTGATTGGAGACCTCGGAACACTCTTTGACTGTATCAGATAGATCTTTCAGAGCAGAGGGATCAAGAGTTGATGCTTGCTGCTGCGCCGGCAAATGAAGCAGAGGACTGCAGTCTTGGAAACCCAGCAACTCCATAAACCCAAGAGAGCTCTTTTCCCCTTCAGAAAACTCAAAAGCATTCGATAGAGGATAACCATTGTCACCCGACAATGAAGAGGATCCAGTCACATCTTCCGTTGTCACGCCCGTCTCCTTCTTCATTCTCCGTCTACTCGTATAGATACCTCACCCAACCGGATAAATTACCGACCCGACTCCTTCATTTCCCACTGTCAAAGCGTTAAAAGATGAAGAGCAGGGTAGGGTTGATCTTGTTTATAGAGAGAGAGAGAGAAAGGGGGCGGGGGTGAGAGTGAGAGAGATAGGGACTGTGTGCGCGGGGAGTGTGAACGTGGTTTTTTGGGGCTTGCAATGGAGGTAGTATAGGCCAATGGAAAGGAGGCTTGGGAAGCAAGCACGGGATTTGACCGGCAATCGGAGGTCATGGAAGGGTACGGACAACCCTGAGCCGGTGGCATTCAATGCATGAGCGCCGTGCCATGTTCCCATATCTCCCTATCTGGTCGACGCTTTCATACGAGAGTCTGACCACGTAACTGGTTCGGGGGATTATGATGTGAACGGGTTTTCCCCAAACGCTCTCCGTTTCGGCTTCAAACGGCGTTATATAATTATATAAGCATATATTAAGTACTACTCCCTCCGTTCCTTATTATAAGAGATATTTGATGTTTATGGCATGTTCCTATATATAAGAGACACTTAAAAGTTGTCTCTATTTTTTTGTATTAATTTCCTATTTTACCCCTATTTATTTTGTCTCCAACTCATACTCTCCCTCCCTCCCACTTCTCTTTCTTTTAATAATTTAATTGTTCTCTCTCATACTCTCTCTCCTTATTAATGGGGGCATTGTTGGAAAAAATATTATACTTTTTACATATTAATTGTCCTCAACTAATTTTAACTGTTTTTTTTATCAACGTAATTTAGTTATTTGTCTCTTATAATAAGGAACGGAGGGAGTATTATACAATCTCATGATTCTCTTTGTAATCGTCTTCACCCGTGTGCATGTGAACAAGCAAAGCAGTTTAGCACATTTTCTTCTTTAATTTTCCTTTTCCTTTTTGAGTTTTGCGTTTTCTGTCATTTCTCTTCCTGCGTAACTTTTTCCGCACGCGTACATATAATCTTCGAGTATTCGCTCAAATTAACCTCACGGATTAGAATAAGTGCGAATAAAATTAAAATTAAAAAAACAAAAACAAAGAGGCGTACGAGATACGCCGACCTATCGGGCAAATTCGTTTCAACTTTGAACATGATAAAGTAATTAAATTGGGCCCTTCTTCTAAGGGAGGTTCACCCACAAAAAGTTCATCAGTGATTTTTTTTTTTCACAAAAAGAAACAAATAAATGAAAAAGGGCCCCGCCACTTCGGAGTGAGTGATGATCTATTCTAATTAAAGAGAACAGAGAGCATGATGAAGGGAGGGATTCTTTTTGGGCGAAACTGGGAATTACACCCAGGGAGGTTTCACGAGAAAGTGAAAAGATTATGAGGTCCCATATGCAGAAGTAGGAGGATAGTGGAAGCGAAGTCCGAGTTCAATGCTACAAAGAATAGAGATAGGCTTTTCTGGTTGGAAAAACCGACCATATCCGAAGCAGTAAATAAAAGATTCGGAACCACGGCCGTAAGTATCGCTCTCTTCCCTCAACGAGGGTCCGCTTTTATCTTCTTCGTTTTTTTCCCCCGGTACACCAAAAGCCCCACCACAAGTTGCTTTTTCACACACAAGCCGGACGGAAAGAGAACCACATCGCAGATCGCCTTTATGTTTTACACCCGTATAAAATATAAAAAAGAAAATGGAGCGGGAAAGAAAGGATGGAGGGAGACAAAAAGGGTAGGTACGTGGGAGGTGCCGGGGCAAATAACGTTGTGAGCGAGAACAGAGAAGTTGATGCACGTGTGGTTTGAAAAGAGCCACGAGGCGCATGCTGACATAATTTTCGTGCACAAGTACACGGCCTCTTGCCACGCTTCAATTATATCATATTATTCCCTTTTTTCAGTATATTTGGAGCCGGATCGCTAGGTTGTTTCTGGATGAAATAATAATAGGGCATTGGGTACAGGGAGGGGGGGCCGGGGCGGGGTGTGGTGGGCGCAGGCTTGTTCTGGACGTGGAACCTGACGACATGTGCCCAATATAGTTCTTGTGCTGCCTCACTCTATATTTTCACTACCGCGTCATTAAAAATCAGCATAAACTCCTCGTCACCTCACACAATGAGAGGGAATGAGACGAGTTGTCAGAAAGGCAAACTACACATTAACTTGGACTTACGGAGCTGCGGATTGCATCAATACAGCAAAGGGACGGGAAAATTCAGCGTGGAGGTAATATGGATAATAACAAAAGAAATATTTCATACATCCTTGTTTAATGTACTTGTCCTCAAAAGTCAAAAAAGGTGAAAACACGCCTACTAGTTAATAAGAAAGTAAAATATAAGTCCTTTACAGTTTTGTTCTGCATCTGGTGGCATATTATTTTAAATCTTGATCATGTTATAAACAAAATGAAAATTCGAATTAAATAAGTAACGCCCGCGGGGGGTGGGGGGAGTTCAAAGAAGTTATATATGCATGTATAACACGCCCACAGGAGAGGAAAAAGAAACGGGTTTTTGGGGGAAGATGGGGCCCATTAAATTTGTCGATCGACTGTCTCCATGCGTGATGAGAGGCCGTGCTATGTCTAAGTGACAGAATCAGCTACTGTGCTCATCATTTTAATAAACATTTTAAACTCATAATGTCTGGACTATTTTTAGATTTAATTTTTTCTATTTGTTTAAGATAATCGTTTTAAGAGATATAGAATATAAAATAAATATAATCTCTTAACTATTATTTTTCTATTTAAAAATAATTAATTTAAAATTTGATCTATTAAATCTCAATAGCTAAGATCTAATGAGGTTAAGATACTCATCAATGTAATAAGCACCTATAACCACCTTGTGCTGGAGGGCGGAGGCAACGGATGAGTTACTGAGCTAGAGGCTTGTCTCAGAACAAGAAAACACACACACACACACACATAATGTCAACATAAGAGATGAAAATTGCGAATAAAAAATAATAAATATAGTTAACTCGCCTATTTAACAAGATAATAATGAGAATGATAAAGGAAAGGGAAGATCCCAAAAAAATAAATGTAAAATTCTAAATTAAAAATAATTACAAAAATATGTTGTTATTTACCTTTGGAGTGTAATAATTTTCTCTATGAATGTAGTAATAAAGACTGATTTGAAATTTTAAAACTCAACAATTATTTTTTTAGGATTCTTCCTAAAATAAACTCGAGAAGGATTGCAGAAATAATTGAAATTGACTCCAGTTGGGGGTGTACTTTATAGTTTATACCGTCACTCCTTTAATATTTTTCCTCATATTATTTTAATTAATTTCACAAATTTTTATTCCCTTTTTTCTTACATTTAATGTTATTTTAAAAAATATTTTGTTAAAAAATAACACAGAATTTTACATAATACTAGTGCCGATTCTGACAATAAATAATTAATCTAACTTGTAATTTATTTAATAGATGTGAATTAGTAGTCAAGTAAGTGTCGTGTGCACACTAGTTATATAAGAGCAGGGTAATGGTATTGAATTACTGTGGACAAGACGTGGCCAACCACAACGACAGAGGCAGCTAGAAGAAACAAAGATCTTGCGCGTTTTAAGAATCTCGGCAACCAAAATGAGAACGGGTTTTGCCGCAGCCCACATGATTGATGCCGCGTTCCCTCTCATTTCAGCACATCACGTACACTAGCAATTAATTAATTGATGATTAGGTTTAATCCTCCTTATTCTGTGGGATTTGTTTCCATAATTTTTAGCCCCAGCTCTTGATTCCCCGCTTGTTTGTAACGCCCATCGTCGCGCAGCAGCAAAACATTTTCTCTTATAAAAAGAGGAACAGTTAACGAACGGTGATAGTGTTGACTGGGGTTGCTTCTGGGATACGTTTTTGGAGCTCGAGAGAACCCGGGGGGCGGGGGGCCAGGGAGGCGGCTTTGCACAAATCCAAAGACACAAGATCCAAACAGGGTTGGCGTGTTGCGAAACGTCACCGTCTTGCCCTACAAGCCCAGATTAGCAGGGGCCCCACCGCACCGAATTGACCAGGTTCCCCGGTCCACGCCACGTGTCCCGAATTTATGACTGGCATACGCCCCTCTCCCTACTGGGTCAACATTTTTACCATATTCTGCACCCTCCTTCATATTTGTCCTTCCCTCCTGCTAAATGCTCACTAGTTGCTCGACACATTCAGAATAATATTGTCCCGTTTTTTATATAGACGACCTCGTTTTCCCCCCAAAGAAAAGTTCATTCTTTTCAGCTCCAGAATGCATGTGAGAATGCGCAAGATTCCTCGGTTTCTCCTTATTCAGCAATATTTTCAATGCAAAAGTGTTAGTGGCCACGGGTAGTGCCACTTCTTTAATTATCCGTCCTTTCAAATCTTATTGAAGCGAGATACCTGCTTCATCAACCCAATCGCTAGCAGACAACTAACCATATATATATGGTCGACAATTTAAGGCAGGCTTCTTGAGTCACCCTCTCTCTATCTCCGCTTTATTTAAATGTGGAGATGAATAATTCGATTATTTAAAAATTTAAATATGCAATCGAGGCTAGTTAGGGCTCCATTATTGGCGGGTGATCAGAGGGGAAACTCATGATTCATGGATAGTAGTTGACGAGACACGGATTATCTTACTCTACCTAACCGTTGTTGCTTTTTGGGTAATGACCCATTAGCAGAGGCAAACTTATGCTTTCCATGACGGGCTCTTTTTAAAATAATCATAATAATGAGGCAACATATCTTTGCGATGTCATTCCCTCTCTCTCTCTCTCTCTCACTTTCTTTCCATGATCTGTAATCAGTACAGGGAGAAGACCTTCTGGAAGAGTGGCATGATTTAAGGCAATGCATAGTAATGTCCAGTTGCCTCTCGTGATCACCGAGCTGCCTTCCTCCTCACGCATCATCTCATCGGGGCTTTCCGCTTTCATATCTTCAGAGGGAGCAAGTAAAAAACAAGGAGCACTGGGCCTTCTGGCCAAGTATTTGTTTGGGGATGGAATGAGTCAATCGCAAAGAGACAACGACGCTCACTTTTACATTGCGTACTATATGTGTATAATGCAATGGCCCTGTCAATATCCTTTTCCTCGTCGTATTTGGAATCCATTAAGCAAAGCACAGCCCCACCACCATCCTCCATATATTGTCCTTTACCGCCCATTCAACTCAAAAACAAAATAAAAGAAAACGAAAGCTCTTATATTAAAAACAAAAGAATGCTTGCAGATAAAAACAGCTAGCTCTGTGAGGATCTCGGTGACAATAAATAAAATAAGGAGGAGGAGGAGGAGGGCAAAACTTGCCGAAGCATGACGGACGTGATGACATGTGAATTTGAGTAGGTGCCTGCCGACACCACATATCCTCGCCAAAAATTCGGAATCAAGATGCTCTCGGCCCATTCCCCCACTCTCATCCTCTTATTAACTCCCGTGCCCTTTTAATTTATATCCCCTTTATTAAAAAAAAAAAAAACCCCAACGTTGCAAGTTATTTTGATCATGTCCACATTGCCCAGTCCCATCATCATCAATGAACTGGCAGGTCATTTCATTTTGCGATCCGAGTTTAATTATTGAGGAATATCTTTATTTTACAAAAAAGGGTTGAGGGATGGCGAGAGAGGTGTATCCTAGGAAGCCATTTGATTGGGTTGACTTACTATTCGGCGTTGAAGTTATCATTATAGTACTGTCCCACTTGAGACGAGACGCAAAAGTGACCTATGAGGTGTTCCAAATCTATGGATTTTAGTGAGAAAGAACGATCATGTGATCCCCAGATAAATTCACCGTGTTTAATAAATAAATCACGGCCACTTTTTTTTTTTTAAAAACAAACAGTTGGAGAAAATAATCACAGAACCACGCACGCATGCTTACTGGATTTTTCCGTATTTTTAAAACCTACATGTTAGTAGGTCGGATCCTTAATATAAAATTTTATTTGATTTTTATTTTGGTCCTAAATATAAGAAACAATTTACTTTTTTCTCATATTTATATATTTTTTTTAAGATAATCCTTCTAATAATAGTAGTTCTAACCAATATACTTAATTAGTAAGGATATTTTAAGAAATACAATACTTATCTATTATAAATAACTAATTTAACTTATTTTTTTAATCTCTTTAAATTAGTCAATTAGTTTTTATAAGTAGGAGTGAAGGTAATATTAATTATCTCCCTTCACCTCGCCAGCACGTCTACACTCCAAAAGCGGAACTGCTTTGAATTTCATAAACGGTCCTGTGATATAACGGCACCGTTGAAGCCTTCTGTCTTGGACTTTTGCGCGGGGCCTTGGACCTACCATTTCTTGACAAAAATGCCCCCTGCTTTTGCAAATTTAAATGATAACCGCAGTCTACTCTTCCTCAGCCATCTGATACCCACATGACTATTTCCTTTTCCCCACAAGACTCGTGGTTAATTATGCTAAGCTCAGAGCACACAGAATCGTCCTTTTCAGCTCCCCTTATTTCTTTGGGGCGTTTGGTACTAGCTAAAAGGATTTTTAAAAACATATTTTTTTACAAATTGAGATGAATTTTTTTTATATATTTACTTTATATACTGCAAAATTATTATTATTATTTTTTTGATTGCCAGACTTGCCATCCAGTTCACTGAAGTTTTACCAAGTCGCTTACCACTTGGACGGGGTTGGTTACTGTAAAATTATTTTAATACTATGGTTTTGGGGTAGAGGTGATATGTGGCGATTGGGCCCATTGCCGACATGTGCGCCCAAAAGTTCTTATTGTTCTCAGCCCAACTCGGATTCGAGGGCTGAAATAGGACGCGCATCCTGATCCTGAAAGACAATCCGCGTCCATGTTTGGATGCTTTTATCGGAAGTTCTTTTGAGGGAAGACGAAGCTGGCTTTCTAGCCACGCGTACAACACATATTGTTTTGTTTTTGGGCTTAGCCCCTTTTGTCACGAAAAATAAACCCGGTAAATTCCAGCTTAATATTTGGTATCAAGTGTACATCACACCCAACAAAGCGGGGTTCTTAATTTTACGTGAGACTAATATCAGGATAAAGACCATCACTGCAAACACAAATCTGATTTCCAAATGATGGAGCCCTAGAGAAAATGTTTCCTTTCAATATGAATCGCAAGTCGTTCTTTTCTCCCACCCTCCGATTTGGACTTACAGTCTGGGGGATCCGAAAGCAATTATTAATATTGTTGTCTCAATAACTAAGAAGTAAGAACTACATCGGACGTTCTGGTTAAAAAAAAAAGAACGACATCGGACTTTTTTTTTTTTTTTTTTGAAATAACCGCCTTATTATTCCGCTGAGCATATATATATATAAAGCACAAGGAAGCATCCAAATCTAAAACTGAGATTTTTCGCCCACGTCCATCACTGGGGGTATTGTTCAGCGTTCGTCGCATCAGATTTTTAGGTCTCGGGAAGTGACTTTAGACGCTCTCCTCGTATGCATTGCAAAACATTAAAAAAAATAAATTAAAAGACCAAATACATTGTGATCACAACAAAATAAAGCAGACCCCCGGTCAGTCGAGTGATTGACATACATACACGAGAAGGTACAGAATAAAACGGGGGAAATTCAGAAGAAAATTCTCATCCACGAGAGCGGTTCTTGTCATGAAATTAAATGAACATCAAGCTTTTTCTTATCTAGAGACCACGGCGTACCCCATACAGCAAAGTCGAGGGCATTCAGAAAAGCAATGTAATTTCTGCATAGCTACAGTTGAAGCGCAGGAATAAAACCTAATTAACTAGTCTTTACAAGATCATAATGCAGTGAAATCACTTATCAGAAGCCGTCAATACCTTAACCATAATCTGCATGACCCTCACTCTCATTTGCAAAGCCAAAATGTAATCGGCCGTCTTTCTGAAGAGTCCATCCAACCCCATGCGCTCGCCGTCGGGTATGAGCCTCTTCAACTTCGTCATCCTCCTCTCCATCTTGTTGTCTCCTCTTCTACAACCTTCCATTAAGCGAGCCCTCCTCTTCATTAGAATCCTTCCTCGCCTTCTGCTGTTAACGCTTTTTTTGCTCACTGCCTTCTGAGATTCCTTCACTTTTCTCCGCAGATGCCCACAAGACGAGTTCTGGGTTTCAACTTGAGCCCCCTTCTTCACCAAGTCTTTGAAAGAAAAGGGAGCAAGCGAAGGCTGTGAAGAAACTCCCATATTCCAACTCAAACAAACACCGATTGGACGCTCTTAGAATATTGCGATTTCTGGTTTTTATCTGTGCCGGATATTGCACACGCAATGAGAGCATTTATACACGGAGTATCCGTGGGACGGCCTGGTAGGCATTAAGGAATAAGTATGAGGAGAATTTCAGAATAATGATTTAAGAGGATTAGAAGGCGGGGACCACATTCATCTCCAAGGGAATGGGATAAATGAATACTAATAAACGAGACAAGTGTAGGCGAGCGTGTCGCTTGTAGGGTTTGCGCATGTTCTCCAACTCAAAGCACATGCGTCCACATGATTGATCTTGTTCACCACGATCAACCCAACCCCCTCTGAACCACCACCTTTCATCACAGGCACCCTCCATCTTTGTAAGACCACCCTGGATTATTCTACCCCCCCTTCTAAATTCAATGCATTTACACTGTGAATTGGGGTCCCCTTTCATATCCCCCCTCCAGCTCATCCATCATCAACACTTGCCTTTCAATATATTTAAGCTTCAGTCCTACGTTCACGCATGGTAGTTATTAGCCCATGTTTCTTGATGGGAAACCTAGCTATAGGACTCTATACAAATTAAGTATACCACAAAATGGTTGCTTGTCAGTACCTGTGTAAGCAACAGTCGGACATTTTAGATCATATATATTGGCCTGAGGAATATTTTCTTCTGATATTCTCAAGAACCACATTTTTGTTTTCGTTCCTACGCCCAGGAGCTGACACCGGGACAATCTTTTGCAGACAAAGATGACATCTTTGTCACTGGTATGGTAACTGGGGTTGAGCAAATTAGAATAAACCACCGCAATCTGTGCTTTGCTCGTTTCGGGGAAAAGCAGTTATATCGTCTTTTTTATTTGGCTCCACAGGAACGAATAAAATTGTTATTTTAAATGACAATTTTCACATCCTGCCTGTCCGTACGGGGTGTGAGTATATAAATAAATTTTATGAAGGAACTGGTCAGATTAACGTGAGAGCTCAGATGATAACTGCTCTAGATATACAGTGTGGCGGCGGGTAACAATTTCTTTTTTCTAAAAGTTTTCTTTATCATGTTATTAAAAAAATACTTTTATATTACTCTCTGTCTTTAATATAAGAGCTCGTTTGATTTTTATTTTGGTCATAAATATAAGACTTCAATCCACTTTGTCTCTTATATTTAAAAATAGTCTTTATAATAATAGTGCAGCTTTTAGCCAATATACTTGATTAGCAAGGATATTTTAGAAAAGATAATATTTATTTATTGCAAATAACTAACATAACTAATTTTTTTAATATACTCAAATTAGTTAACTAACTCTTATATTAAGGACGAGAGGTAGTATTATATTATTTGAATAAAATGATTCTATATGAATTAGCTTCAAAATAAATAAGTAGATTGGTGAGGGCGAATGATGTGGGAGGGTATGTAAATCCCGATTAATTTTTTGAACAATTGAGCTTGGCAATTCCTACCGCCATGAGAGCCTGCGTCTTCATTACAACCGGAGACCAAGTAAATGGCCCCGATACGTCGTAATTATGCCCACCTGTAATGAATACATATCGTCCATTCCCCCCATATAATTTAGTGTGAGAAATTAAACCAAGGGACGTACGAATGTAGGCTGTCTTTTCCGCTGGTCTTGACCCTCCACCTATTTGTTAAGATACATCACGCTTTTGTTTGGTTCGAGTCACGAGTTCAATTATATGGTGTTGATATATTCATTCTTTCTAGTATTATTGTTAGGTTAGTATAAATTCAAGTCCAGGACGCCCCGTGCACATGCATATACATATTGGAATGGAAGTCTCACTCCTCTTCTTCTCAGTACGTACATGGCCTCCATCGATGTCCCGTTTTCTCTGTTTGTTTTCCTCGGTTTTCGTTGCATTAGGTTTACCCACCAACCTAATCCTCCCTCACACAAGTAAACTAAGTCCTCTGATCCTTCCTATATATTAAGATGTCGTTTTCATAGGGGTAGACCCCATGCACAAATAAACGTGATGATAGGCATAACCCATCGATCGCCAGTTGCTTCGTTAACTCTTTCGTCCTCGCTGCCATGGCCCGCCTTAAACACAAAACAAAACTCATAATACTCTCATCCTGATGTTCAATCTAATGGTCCAAGAATCGCCACATGCCTTGTATCCTTAATTATTGATTGACCAGTTCATGTGCCAGAAGAGTGGTGCTAATGGGTAACTTCCACGTGGCAAGAACCAAGGTGGGGGTCAATATGAAGCTCTCCCTATCATTCGCCGTCCATCACTGTGAGGCACACCCAATATACAGCTTCGCTTTGAATTGTACGAAACAGAGCAGCCACTCGTGTCTCCATGTGCCGGGGAACAAACCCTCATCATGGGCCTTTTTTTCCCGATGCATTAATTATTAAGGTGTAAGCAAGGATAATTAACTGGGGCTGGCCTCTTTGTCGTGTATGGTGACTCGGTAGGGTGCTTTGTGGGCAGAGGGGTCGGATGCATATTTGCTGGTCGCCTGGTCGCTCGTGTGGCACAATAGGCCGCCTTGGGTATCCAAGCGTCCATGTGCGCGCTGACGTGGCCATATGCTTAAATAGTGATGGCCCGTCAATTGTGCAGGGAGGGGATCATCGGGGCAACTGAAGCCACAATACTTACACCACCAATAAATTGATTCAGTTGGTAAGAAGTCGCTTATAACCCACAAGGCCGTGAGTTTGAATCTCGTTGCAGATATGAGGACCTTATTGGCGGGTGATCTATAAGTAATTCTGTAAGCGCTTTTCTGAGTTTGGAGGCATGTCCTGACCTTAGTGAGCTCCCGAGACTCAAATCATCTAAACTTTTTTTTACCAACAGAAAAGAAGAAGTCACAGTGCTTACCATTATTTCGCAATGAATAATGATGAGTCTCACCGAATGGCCTCTTCACGGCCCAATCCATCATTATGCCAGTTTCCCTTTTTGCAATTTTCGTGCCTTCATCCATGATCATGATCTGATGTACCCCTTGATCCACTAGGCATGAGCCCTCCCTTGTGTCAATGCATTTTTTATTCTTTTTCTGGGCCAGGTCATGGTGTCCCGATCAGCCCAACGATTCTGATCGCAATTCGATCCATAGATTGGGCTTGCTTGGCCCATATGAAATTGAAACGTAGCCCAAATCGACCAATTTGGGAATGCCGACGCTCGAGCGCTTTTTTAAAGTACACGCACGTATTATATAATAAAATATTAAAGACTCGTTAGACCCGAGAGACGACGGAATATTTAATCACCGGTATGGCGTGAAACAAGTGTGCATTGGGCGTATGATAGACCGGACGGACGTGCGGAACACCCAGAAATAAGCGTCAGCTCCTAATTCTTTGAATTGATTGTGGGTGAAGATTTTTTCTTTCACCAATCTAACATTGTTTTCTAGAGCCAGCCAAACGTAAATGGAATTGCGATTTAGTTGAAGGCATTAACCCTGAGAAGGACCAATAATGGAATTGCTAATTTTATGAGCGAATTTTGCAGTCCATCAATCTGCACAGATATCTGCCTTCCGTAAACATGCTCATGCCGCAGCACTCTGTTATCATGACTTTTTTGATATCACGCAGGGTGTAGAATTTTACAAACCGTTAATTATTTTAGTCTGCCTTTAGTTTATGATTGAAATTTCTTATGTTCCATGAGATTATGATCTTATATGTCACATGTGATCTCATTTATTGGGAAAAAAATATTTTTGTGTTTGCGTGTGCTCTTTGAAGAGGAAAAGACTCGAGACCCGAAATTTTGCACAATTGATTTTAATTTCCGAATAATAAGTCCAAGTTTTCCTGGGCCTAAAAATCCAAACACCCTGTTGCCACGCTTCAAGAAAATTTTGTGACCATGTCGCTGGCCTGATTGAACTATCGACATGTTAAAACGGTGGTGTTCTTATAGAAATTAGGATCATAACAGCTCTAAGAAATGAAATATGAGTTTTGGCTTTAAGAGAAAATGGCACATCAGTTAATCCCCTACTTGATAAGAAAAAGAAAAAAGAATGTATCGCTATCACTCCCACGCGTCAAGAAGGTCGGCAGGGTTCAAATCCTTAAACTTTGGTTAGCTTGATGGGATACCCCGAGAGAGGAGTTTGACGAGTCGGGGGAGCAGGAGAAGACGGTCTAACGAACGAAAATGTTTTCGGTTAAAAAGAAAAAGAAAAAAAACGAACAGAAATGCGCCTCGCTTTCCGGAACCTCATCCTGTAAGGCTGGACTGGGAAAAAACCTAATTAAAATGGCATTGGACCGACCAATATCTGCATGATACTAACAAGATGGTTCGAACCACGATGTGGTATTTGGAAATTGACTAATAAAAAATCCGCTTTAGGTGTTTGAAAGCCGAAAAGGCTGCATCTGGAGAATGTTTGTTTGCTTGCTCGATACTAGAAGATGGAGCGGCAAATATCTAGGACTTGAAGAAATTAAATAAACAAACTGCGGTCCACTTTCACACATCCACAGGTGTTGCCACCTTCCACCCCTCAAGCATAATGCTGATTCCATATCGCAGTCCCTTGGAAACCTATTAGGCCAACGGTCTCAACCTAAGCACCCACTTGGTTACTGTTTTCTACAATGTTTTTTTTTTTTGTTTAATACCTTTTGATTTGATGCATAGGATATATCCCACCCGGACGTAGATAATGGCACGTGTTCTTACTCTGCGCCCGCCCATCTGCAATTGCCCAGCAACGCGCGTTTGTATCTGTATGAGCAAACACAGGTACCAAAAATCAAAATATAAAGAAATAAACAAGTCATATTCTGAACTTCATTTCTTTCAGAATCTTCCAATTCAGCGACTATAACGATCACATCTCTTTGCCACGATTCCCATTTTTCTGGTATAGACTCCAACCAACATTCAACCAAACCAAGATCACACTATTGTCACCGCGAAATGCCTCTGATCCCCTCTGGTTGATAAAGAAAAATTGA